CCTTTTTCATTCCTCTTGGGTTTTTTCCATGAGGTCAGGTGATGGCCTTTAACGGTCGCCCGTCCAATATGTCTTTTCCATTCAAAGTTCCTGGTGACACATCCCTGACTAACTTGATCCGACTCAACAAGGAACAAACTCCGTGGGAAATAATTTTTATGGCTTTTAGCCTAACTCGATAAAACGTTCGAATTTAACCGATTAAAGTTTCCAATAATTAAAATTTAAAATAACACTTTATTGTGGGTCTGTTCGTCCCTCACATATATATATATATAAGTATTTAATTCGTTATTAATTGTAAACAAAATAATAATTTATAATTAAATTAATAAGCAAAAATATTATCTGAATACAGAGAATTACTTAAAGTTAGAATGAAGTTATATCTATTTCTCCTCCAAGCTTAATAATAAAAATATTTAAAAAAAAAAGAGTTTTCTTTATTATATTCGATCACGTGAGAAGAAACTTTTCTTTTATTTATTTTTCTTTTTTTTTTAACTTTTCCTCTCACGTCATAGAACAATTACATTGAAAGAACATGTTCTGTACCTAAAAATCATTGCAGCAAAAGTAAATATTTTTGTAATTTAATGAAAAATAAAAGTGTCTTTCCCGGTTTATTTTACATAGAAAGATCTTTTTGATTTATAAATAATTTTAACAGTTAATTTTCCACTTTGCATGGCACTAGTTTGGTCAAAGGTTTAGACAGAGATAAGGCTAATTACGTAGCTAGTAAGCGAAACGTGCTAATTCCCCCGATGCCATTAATTACAAGCAGATATTTGTCTCTTATGAGGACTGATAGTTTGCACGCCATTCAACCATTAACCCATATCAGTAGATGCGTCAGCAAGTAGCAGAATGAGTGGAGAGGACAGATGTTACCTCTATGAATATATTAATTAATATCCTCCTTTCACTTATTTTAAATTATAATCAGATTTCCAATGAAAATCGAATATTCTTTACAAGAGTTATGTTATTAAGTGACAAATT